AGCTTTCAGCGGTCATCTGTCAGACGAAACAGACAAGTGACACTACTCGTTTCCGGTTCCCCATTTTCTAGAACACCTGGCACGCCTCATAACAAAGTAATTAAATTGGAATCAAAATTTCTTTGCAGTGGTTGGACTTGAACTATGGTTGCCCAAGTTTAAAGCAGAGTTCTTGACAACTAGACATCATGACATTGCTTGCCAAGTAGTGTCTTAAGAGCAGCGTACAATTTCCTACAACTAAGCTATCCTTGGAACGCCATATTATATACATTTAGGCGTGAAAAAAGTACCAGTTACAGCTTACAAGGCTGCGATGTAGAGTCCGCCACTCGACTTTTACATTCGCTGGTATGACCTGGATTAGTCACTTTTATGCCTTCACAGCATGCGATGTACGTGATTCTAAGAATCAATATGTTCTGGCATGCGTAATTTTTTTTTAATGCAAAAGGAGAGTCTACTACTAGAACTGCCTCCGAATTATGGAAGTCTTGAGCTCTAGTGGTTCTTTCATTTTGTACAGGCATAATTTTTAACAACAGATGCTTTTGCGACGGAACGTGTCAGTTCGTACGCCAGGCGAAAGGAAGTGAATGTTTAGAGTGACTTGATGGCACTACTTATGCGGACGCTCCCTTGTCGGGCCCTCATGATTCATATGTGAATAATTGCACTCCGACTTTTTTTAGTGGACATCACTAATTAGTTGCGGCTTAGCTACGTTTCCTTTATAAAATCATATTGCCTCATTGAATTTATTTAGTTCTGAATCAAGAGACAGTTCCGGTCAAGGCAGATGCCACCCTCCCAACTATTTTGCTTCAAGATTTGAACAATCAGTAGCTAGGTGGGATAAAAAGTTGTTTTAAAAAGAATAAAAAAAATTATGGCACGCTTTTTTTGTTGATATATGACGCACCATCAAACATTGTTGCTTTATTGAGTGAATTTTGATAACTTTCTGCGAGGCTTTTATATACTTGCTAACTCTTAATAAAATATGTGAGAAAAAGTATACATGTCTTCTACTGAAGGCTTCGTTATTACAGAAAGGGACAAGGTGTCAAAATATTTTCAGGCAGTTTTCAATAGTTGAAGTACTCGGCGACTAGTGCTTTGTATTCATTGTAGCGGTGTCCCTTGCCATATAAAGGTATGTAGAAGCAACCATCAGTCGAGACCACCTTCTCTATGTTGAGCCGGTCACTGTGGTTTGAGCGCCTGATGTATATACAGTGGTGCGCCGCCGTATGCGAGGCCCCCTTGAAGGGTTCCGCTTGGCAGTGAACAGTTGAACACTGGCACCCATTCCACCGCAGCAGGAGATTCTTCGGTGATGAGAACCTGCGAATTGAAGAATGCCTCACATCCCACATAGTACACCAAGAAAAATATTAAGAATTGTTTCAAATGTGCGTCCTAACATCAGGACAGGTTTGTGAAGGATTCTATAGTTCAGTGTTCCAGAAATTTTGACCACGGGGTGTTCTTTAACGTGTATCTTAATCTAAGTGCTCTCGCCTTTGGCATTCATGCTATTTCGACCACTACGACAATAATTTGATCTGCAACCGCCGCCTCAGCAACGAATACTCATTACCACAACGCACTATGGTGGCTTCCACTCAAATAGCGTGGGGCATCGAGTGTACTCAGAAACACCGTGAATATGTGTTAAATCTAACAGCGTGCGTACATTTGTACTAACGCATTCTTTTTGTTTATCGACTTTTACTCAAACCTTCTATGACCAGTGGGCCTGAATGCATTTTCTAGGGTTAACCTAGTTTTCGCCATCATTACTTTATGTTTTTGAACTATTTTTACTCCGACGCCAAAAGCTACTCTCACGGAAAGAATTACGCGAGAAATAGATCCGGAACATTTCTTTCAGTGAGACATAATAATAAAACATCCGGCAGCAAATACATTAGAACTCTTTATCCACCTAGTTTTGCGTAAATTACGGCTAATGAAGTCCGATGCATAAAAGAAGCATGCGTGAATAAGCTTTCCTTATACTATAAAAATGCGTTAGACTGATATGCATTTTTGGTATGCATGACCAAGTTAGAAGGGTGAAGGAACACTGTGGTGCTCGGTTGTTTCATTTTATCAACGTATGTTAGAAATCTGCTAATGTGTCCCTATAGACCTCCCATAATCCGACAATCTACTAGGTATTCCGAATGAACTATACCTCCTCGTATTGGTTTTTACATTGTTGCTTTCTACATGTAGTATTCCACGATAACAATATGCTATGAAACAATGCCTGTTAGCGTGTGCAGGAAATAAACGGACGCACAACAGAAGGAGCAGGAAGTGAAAGGTCCTGTTCTGAGATATTTCACTTCCTATGCGTTCGTCTATGTGTAGTATGCTTTTCTTACAAGCCTTAACTAACCCGGCTACAGAGTTAACTACAAGTGTCACAAGCAGAGAGGTCTTAAAACATTTCTTTTCTCTACTACTGAAGGGCCTACCGCAAGTCCGTATAAACCAGCCAAAACAGCTTATCGAATGTGGGCACCTCCAACTGGTCGTCAGAGCCGTGCTCTGCTTTGTCATCCGCAATGTAGCACCTGCTGTGCCAGGGTACGAGCTTTCCTGGTATCCCGTTACCGTGATGCCTGGCTCGACAGATAGACATGATGCCGAACTAATCCTGCCCACCAGGTACTGCATTTTTAGGGATGGCCTCTTCATTCGAGGCAACCCACTAGAACAACGGTTTTTGTATATGCGCTGTGAAGAAAAATTTACGCAGGGGTTAACAGGCTGCGGAGATTAAGGAGGTGTATATGCATATATTAAACGGATCTCACACAAGCACTGCGAGTTGTGTAAATAGCTTTCAAGTTAATCGTTTCATTCCAGTAGCTATCCGACTCTTTACACGATCGCTCATGGATGATTATTTTGTTCAGTAGTCTCGCTACAGATGTCACCTGTTCATCATCGAGTACTTCGAAAAAACACACGTAAAAAAATTCACCATTCTTTTACCTGGTGTAAAATGTGGTGAAGCAGTTGTCTGGTTCTCCTGTGTTCAACTTATCTTTTGTTCTGAGGCTCTTTCATTTTTTGTTGGTGCCTGTGGTGTGGTATTTGTAAAGTGCACACGCCATACCTTCTTAGCTACATTGCCTTTAGGCCATATGTATGCCGGAATTTCATTTCATGGTTTCACTTTTCATTTACCGCTCTTCCCACAACCTAGGCATATACACCATCTATTGGTGCATGTGGGAAACGGAGCTATAGATCTGGGACGCGGTTACTCACCAGTCATCATGGCCAGTCCTAGAGCAGCTGCGCCGTTAAAACGACGAGCTGAACACTTCAAATATTGCGCAAATTAAAATTGCACGCATAGCACACCCTAGTCTCAGCTCCCTGAAGTAAAAGTATGTGGTATTACAAAACGCGCCGTTGATGAAACTGCCGCCTCACCAAACATTGGCGCCGTCACTTCTGTTGTTAATGGTCAGCTGACGAGTACGTAGGTACTACGTTCGGAGGTGGCTGTCAACAGCATGCAGTACGGAGCGGATGCACTATTGAATTCGAACATTATCGATGACGTACGATACTCCTTGCAGTTCCACACTGTATCTCCAAAACCACAAGTCACGTAGGTCATGCATATTTTCCCTATGTATTCGCCAAGCACGCCTTCAAATGTCGCAGGTGGTTCTCACATCATTGCCGTCGACGCAGCTGTTCGCATCTCAACGCTGATGTTTCTCGGTGAATCCGGAGATGCGTGACCGTATGAAAAGGTTAGGTGCCTCGAACAGCGGCCATAAAACATTTAGTCGTTTTCATGACGTGCGATTACAAACAAAGCCAAGATATATGCAATGTTATTGCTGAAATCAGATTCCTTGTAGCTAACTAAAATGATATAGGATGGCACACAGTGGGTAGGCTTGATGTCTCATGACTTATGCTACATAGATCACACAAATGCTGAACGAGAACGTTACCGTTTTTATAGAACTGTTCACATAATTGCTGTTGAAGTTTCAACAGGCACTGGCAAGTTGAAAGTGACTCGTTCCCCTTTTAGCGCAAAATAACGAAGGTCACCACGGTTGATGAGCTCCAGAGTTTTATGCATGATCATACTCATCATACAACAATAACACTTTCTGTTATGAACAGCTAATCTACAGTTATGGAACGATAAAATTCACAGGCTCTTTCGTTTCATCCTTGTATCATATTGTTTCCATTAATGCAACGCTATTTACTTGTAAGCACTTGTAACACTGCTTACAATAATGGCGTCCATTTTTTTTCTAAACAGCCCCCCTAGACATCTCTGAAGCACTTCCTGGTCACCAATATGGTGACGTTTGCTCTTTTGGGTGCCGAACACTGGTGTTTTACAGAAAACGCCTTTTTGGAGCACTGGTGGTCCTTCTCAGCTTCTAGACGGTGAGAATATGACGGGCAGTTAAATAACATAAGGAGCTTTGTGCTAGGCTTTCTTCTTGTCATTCTGTGTACGAGAAACACATCTGTTTCAGGCCTGTATACGTAGAACCTCTGCATATTGAGATGCAATTAAAACACTATGCGCAAAATGAAAGCTCATAGTTACCTTCACCCAGGATTGAAATATCCTGGAGTAAAGTGTCCGAGGAAAGCAACTCTGGTGGCCTTTTCTCTGGGCACTAATTTTAAACGCCACGTGCTGCATGCTTCCAAGCTCCCGCATGTCACACAATCTTTGTCAGGATGAATAATTGTGCCAATTTTGCATCAACCAATTATGTATTCACCTGAAGACCTGTTCACACATTTGTTACCAGCAGTGACGTCAATACGATAATAATCGAACTGTGCCTGCGGCGGTTCCCATTACACAGTTATTACATAGTTTTCTGCTGACACCAAACGTAGGTTTTGCACGTCAGGAAGGGCTGCAAAGGTGAATCGATCAAAAACTAGATGAAGTAACTGGCATGAAAAATTGCAAATGGGAATGTTTATGAAAAAATATTATTTTCAGTTTGGCTGCACTGCCCCCTTTCGGTTTAAAATCTACAGAATTTATGTGGCAAAGTCATTGAAGAAATATTCTCATCACACGTCCAGGACAAGAAAATTTAAGTGCTAACCGTACATTGGTGTCCTTATTTGCTGAGCAGCGGGAAGGCTGCTAATTGTGTCAATACCACAACGCACAGTGGCGAATACTAATATGCAGTAGGGAGTGTCAGCAGTGGTTTGAATCTTCAGTGATGTTTCGGAAGTGTGGTGCCCGATGCAACCTCTCACGTTCTCATCGGCGTCACAGAGTGCAAAGGTGTGGCAAGTCTGTACGGTATATCCAGTGAGAACACCAAAGATTTTCGGAGGAGGCTGCCAGTGAATTAGTGTTTCAGTCGCTGAGAGTGAGACCATGGTAATGTCGACTGGTGGAACCTGGCCTGAAACATAAGAGAAAAAGACGCCTGCTTTGACATGTAAAACGGTAATTATAGTACCTGACAATTCAAAGGTGCCAAATGATTCTGATACCTGATATTCAAAGGTGCCAAATAATTGTTTTCATTTTTTTATTAGGCCCTAATCTAAACGAGCTTTTTAATTAAAAATCTGCATAGAAAATGCAAATGTATTCACGGCTGATTGCAATTATGTTCTTCCCAAGGAATGTAATTGTCATAAATGGCTGTATTGGTGACACGTCGTGCTGTTCAAGCAATAACTGGCGGAAATTGAGCAATAACCTTAAACCAATGATTCTGCGTTTATCTTGCTGACTTTTACAGATGTTAAGGCGTTTATTAGCCGGCAACCAGCGAGCACACACAATGGCGACAGTTACGGTCAAGCACGGGCTCCCAGCGCGAGCGACGTCCTTGTTGGGTCGCCCCACTAGAAGGTATACTCAAGAGTTCGATATATTTTAGAGTTTGGAAGCTTCGCTACACAGATCTTCATGTTGATTTAAATGACTTCATATAGCCCAACCGGCTCAGCTAAAATCTTCTTCATTGACGGTCTTACTCTGCAACCACACAATATGAACACTGCAAGTTAGCTATTAAATTCAGGCTAATAAATGGAGACACGTTTTGTTGCCTTTTGTAGAAGTGGGCTTACATGGAGTTTGAAGAGAGCTGCACGTCATACACTTTTTAATGATTTATTTTTCTTTATAAAGTACTGCGGACAAAAAACCCAAGCAGGGTGAGTAAAATATATATCAATAACGAAGAACAAGGTTGCAAAGTGTTTTTTTTTTCACAAAATATTTTTGGTTGTAAGAGGGGAGGGGGGTATAAAAAAAGGACACGTTAAATTTGGGCACGATAAAATTCTAAGAAAGAAACAAAAGAGCAAAACGATTTGCAAAAATGGTCACGGGCATTCGAAAAACGCTTCCGTTAGGTTATTCTAATCAGCTATAGTTTGTGGGAAAAAGCAGTAGCGAAAAGTGTCAGTCCTTGCGAAGATTGGCGTTAGGGAATGAGGATAGGGGTGCCGAGTGGGTCTGCTTACCGTCACCTGCAGTAAAAACGTCACGCAGTGTAACTCCTTTTGAAGTTTGCTCAGGTGGTCCCATGCTGTGCGTGCGCACGTCGACTGTCACGGTTGAACAAGTCTCAAGACGCTCACAGGTCAACTGCGTCCGGTCACGGTGAATAATGGTTCCGTTGGCGCAGGATCCTGCTGCGTTGCCGTGAGCGTTCTCCTCACTGTCATCATTGTTTTTTGAAATGTAAATAACATAATAGTCGAAGTTGCCTTCCGGTCGTTCCCATGTTGCAGTGAAGGAGTTGTCGGTAGTTGCTGCAAGACTCAAGTTCCGCACTTCTGGAAGGTCTGTGACTGCGAAAACTGATTTAAAAATGTGTGAATCGATCCGCAGTTATTACATTTTACATTTATTTTATGATAATAGAAGCACCCGTTTGATCGTGTATAGATCACATGGTCAAGCGGACAATGTTTTATACCTCGAAGAATTATAGGCCTCGTCACATTCAAGTCAAAAATTTAAAAGTCCGAATGGTTTGTGAAATAAAGCTTACCAGAAAAAAAATTCAGTCGTTCAAGGCTTTTTGCTAAGAGCTCAGTGCTAAACTGATGTTTACAAGCAAATAAAATTTGTCTATCAATTTTCAAAGAAAATTACAGACTGACTGGACGTCGATGTGGAGTATGCTCTTGCTGACATGACCATTGCGTATTTCCATACTTCAACAGTGTTTTTTTATCACACAAGAAAGGCCTTGAAACTGTCATACTTTGTTATGTCTCATCCAGTTGATTGACAATATTTCAGAAAGAGGAACTAACCATTCTGGGTGATTATCTACCATTGCATTCTGTACGACACATGCCCGTTGGTGTGTTTGTAGTTTGTCTGCCAGGGTGGCACGATCTAGTCAGGCGTTTATTCAGCATTTCGTCGTGGCATTCCTGGCAAATTGTAAAACTTTTGCCTTGAATAAAATGAATAGAAATAAAAAATGAAATAATTTAGCCTTTAAGACTCTGTGAAGTTTGCTCAACAGAAATCACTGCCTTTTAAACTCTAAACTCATTTACATATTCTTGCTGCCAGTGCAACTTGTTTTTACGGTATACTGCTCTCTCTGCTTTTTACATACAGTACGGGCACACATAACCTCTTTCTCAATGTTTCGACTGCCTTTTTATTGCTTTCAGTGAAAGAGTGCCTGATTGCAAATAACGACACGTCGTAACCGCAGATTTCCTAAGTGGTTGTCCTGCAGCGAGCACCACAAATATTATACCAGGCACAAGGAGAGCAGTAACAGGAGTACGCCATAAATAGCAGTGTAATAGATTCACTCACACCAGAAAGAGCATTTAATTATGTAGTCTGAATAAAACTACCCTACTGGAATCACACAAAATAAACATAGTTTCCTCATAATGACTTGACTGTGGCCACGTTTTCTCACCATATATTATGTACATGATAAAATATTTATTGCTGCGACACATCAAAACCGTCAGATTGCTTCAATCACGCAAGTTCTCAAATTGTTCTCAAATTTTATTGCACATATCTTAAGGTTCTAACACCGTGTAAGATTAGTGTTCTTCACTCATCGTGGTGCGATTATGTAGGTTGTATTCGTTTAAACACATTAGGTACACACAATACTGCTCTGCATATTTTATATACGCGTACTGCATGTTTTAGTGCACAGCGTAGATTACCACAGAACATGACTTGAAAACCACGTATCATGTGTGTAATCGAATCCTGCTGATTCTCTCCAAACATAGTAATATTAGAAACTGATTGGAGCATATCGTGGGAAAGTTGCATAGAGTGACTCCACTCGTAATTGTGATAGAGCGGCATGATGTAAAATGTTCAAATTTTCACGCTACCTTATAATGACAAGTCAGCTTGTCATGAAAACGTGTATTTACAATTTCGAATACGTTACACTACAGCTGTTTCTTGCTTTCGGTTGGCTCGCTCTTACGTGCTAGTGATAAGCCAGGTAATTTCAGGCTACACATTGCCTTTTTGCGGCCATGAATATAGCAAGTGTACTCAATTTTGACCATTGCTTCATAGGTTCCACAGTAAGCGTGGTGATACCAATGCTGAAGTTGGCAGACGCATTGAATGGGCCGCAGGTGACTTGCGTTTGGCTAGGTTGAATGATAGTGCCGCTCATTCCGTCTTCTTGAACACTCGCATTAATTTTTCGGCATACATATCGGGCTCCCATCTGAGTGAAGATAAAAGACAACTTGGTCTCTCCCAAGCAACAGTGAACAACGTTTCCTCGGCTGATAAGGCGCAGGTTCATCACTTCAAGCAGTGAGGCAGCAAAAGCGTAAATCATCATTAAACGTAATCGTAATAAAATACGTATAAGAATGGCTCGTTCGGCAGGTTGGCACTGATCCATATGTGTACTGCGCAAAAAAAAAAAACAGACAGAAACACAAAGTAGAGAAAGGGGTCAGACAGGCGCCGACTATCAACTGAAGCTTTATTGCAAGACCAAGGCAATATATAAAGGAAAATACAAAAAAGCAAAGGAGAACAAAGAAGGAGGAGAGAAAGACAACAAAACCTGGACAATAACAGGAAAGCATGGAAGTCATGCAAAACCTAGATAGGTCAACTCCTTATCGTGTATGGTCACAGAGGAACACTGACGCATGACTTCGACGCCTTGTGAATATTCGCAGCCTCAAAAAGCTCGCGCCTTCTTTGGTTTTTATGCCGAAGCAGCACAGAAGTATAATCAAAGAGCGGCTCGCAGCCGCATTATGCAGTGGGCTGCTAAATGAAGGCCGGAGTGACCTTTCAGGGAATTAAAATGTTCTCGAAGTCTAACATTTAGATCTACAGCGACCTGTCTGACCCACGTATACACGAGTGCATGACAAGGGTATAGAGTAGACAACAGCGGTGATACATGATGCATAATTATAAATATGACTCACATTGCATGTATACAGGCCTCCGTAATCACAATTTCTCGTTATGTCGATGACTACATTGATTTTTTTTTTCATAAGGGAACTGGAGATATGCCAGCAGGTATTTTAAACAGTTTTGAGCAGTGTGGTCTTGGCCTGAAGTTCACTTCGGAACCCCTAAAGGACCAATGTATCCAATTTTTGGATCTCCCGCCACAGCTCTCGCGCACGCATATGTGATGGTGCCACACCCATCGGTTTGTGAAACCTGTGCTGAACTATAACTTGGGTCATACGAAACTGGTTAAAAATGCGATTGCACTCTTTTGTTTTAGCTCTGCACTTAAGAAATCCTGCACTCATTTATTTGAAAAAAAAAAGTTTTGCTGGGCAGCTCAAAAAACTTAGACAAGCAGGCTTCCCACGGGATTCATTGTTAAAAGTCTGCGAAAAATAGATTAAGAAAATAAAGGTAGGCCCTAGTGTTGGTTGCAACTTGGATAAGAAGGGAAAGCATAAAAAATTTGCTGCCCTTCCATATTTTCACGGTTTTACCCACCACCTAAAAAAGGTGCCATCATAATATGACGTCCGAGTAGTTATTTCTGCCAGGAACAAGTTATCCACATCATGTGCCAAAGTAGATAGGCGAGTCGCGGATAACATATATGTCCGGCAAGATACATCCAATGTTAATCATATTCGTAATTATGAAACATGTATTACTCGGTGTTGTCTGCTCCATACCCTTGTCATGCAATCGAGTATACGTGGGTAATACAGGTCGTTGTCTAAAAATTAGACTTAGAATACAGTTTAATTCCCTGAAAGGCCACTCCAGCCTTCATTTAGCATGCTCACTGTAGGAAATTTGGCTGCATGCCGCTATTTGATGAAAATTCTATGCTGTTTCGGCATAAAAACCGAAGAGTGCGCGAGATTATCGAGGCTGCGCATATTAGCAAGATGTCCGAGTCGTGCGTCAGTGTTCCTTCTGTGACCATACACGATAAGGAGTTTGACCTATCTAGGTTTTGCATGACGTGCGTGCTTTCCTGATGATGCCCAGCTTTTGTTTATTTGGCCCCTCGTGCCTTTTTCTCCTCCCCCTTTGCCCTCCTTGCTTTTTATTACTTTCTTTTATAAAGTGCCTCGGTCCTGTAATAAAGCTTCGCTTGAAAGTCTGCGCTTGTCTCCTTTTTTTTTCTACCTCGTGTTTCCGTCTGTTTTTTGTGCACTAGACTAATAAAATACGCATAGGGTCTCGCATTCACCGAAGTTAATGTAATGGTGCGAAAGTAAAAGAATAAAGGTTGCATTTGCACCAATAATGTGAGCTCAATTAGTTTAAAAAGCGCTAGCGCTACAATGATATGGTGAATTTTTTTTAGCCAAACATTTCAATACCGATATATAACATACAGCCTTCTAACCAAAGCCAAGACTCATTTCTCAACACTTCTTGTGGATTGAACTACCACTTTTAAAATGTATCAGTTTGTTTTTGAAAGATTGTAGCAATATCTTTCGATTAAATTTCAACGTTATAACGTAATTATACATGAATTTGTTCAAAATTAGACTGCTTGCAAAATTTTTATATCGATAATATCTGTTTATTACATATATATGTGTCCTTGCTATTTTGCTTTGCCGTGCCATTCTCGTGCCGAGCGGGGTAACTGTGACTGCTCAGTTAGCTTTATTCACATCAACAAATACACACGGGATAGTACAGTTGAATAGTACTGCGATGTGATTGTACTGTGAGATTATTAACATAGCGAACAACTCACGAGAAAATGCTCCATCACTTTCACTACAGGGTGAGTACTGCAAGGGAAAAAAAACAAGCTTTGAATTACCACACCTTCGGGCGAAGAGTAGAATTTTCCTATATAAATAAGTAATGTGTAAAATAATTGACCAGAAGCAACTGAAAAATATCGGCGTCATAATTATCATCGCAACAATTGTTTATTTTTGTAGGCACTTTATTTCAATCAAAATGCATAACGGAGAAAGACATCTGATGTGCCACTTCAATTAAATCCTGCCCAACTGGATTCAACTCTTGTGTTCAGGACCACTTACAAAATAAGAAGCTTTAAGATCTTTTTGTTTTATTAAGACATGTTTAATATTTCAGTTAAAAACGCCAAAGCAGAACCATGTCAAACGACAAAAACCATTTACCCTAATGAAGAATGGCTTCAATAAAAAGCAACAAAGAGGGTGATCACCCCTTCTAACAAGCAAACACCGTATTCAATATATTTAGTTTATCATAGTGAAAACTCAAAATGAAAGAAAAAAAGAAGTTGGTTCACCTGACCTTGCCACCGAAGAGGTTAAACAACACCAGACACGTAGAAGTAACGGTGATCAGAAAAGTCAGCAACGCAGATTTACAAGGCATCCACCGGGAACATTCAAAACTCTGCATCCTCCACTCCCGAAGCCCTTTGAACACGGTTGGTTCGTTCCTTGTGCTGTCCGTAAAGCTAACGAAATCCTCTTTGCGTTCGTAGCGAAAGTTCGTAAAATTCATAGAATCATCTTGGTGTTCGTAGCGAACAATCTTTCCTTTGTTTTCTACCTTCCATTCAGGAAATCAAGCTAGACTACATTGGTATTTTGACAGTCCAAAGCTGCCTTTCGCCTAAAGGGCGCTCGCTTTGACATGTAAAGCAGCAACTGAGACTTGACACTGTTCCGGATAAAAACACAGAGCACAGTGACAGCTAGTATTTGCACAGTAGCTCTCAGCTTTGCAACGAGAACTCGAATGTGATTCGAGGAGTGCACTGGTGTTTACATATTCGTGAAGCGGACATAACGCAATGTTTTCGAAGTCAAACACCACGATAATTGAAGCAGGCTTCTCTAACACAGCACGCACTATGAACCGTGCGATAAAGTAATGGGTTCGAGGAGTGCTGGTGTGTTTGTATAAATTACAGTATCCTATCGACAGAGGAAAAGAAAGCGACAGTTACATCAACCTCGAAAGCAATGGCGACAACCTTGCGGAACTTTCAGACAGCGATGAATGTTTCTTCCGTTATGAGTGCCGGCGGATGGCTGGAAGCCAGATATTATTAATTGGACTTCGTAACAAAGTCGAAAGCGTCAGTTTTTCATATCTGTGTTCGTATCGTCGCTGCCGGTAGATCTCTCCAAACTTTAGTGCTTTTCAATATAGTTCTCCGTTTGGCTAGGCTCGTATTGTTATTTCTTTAAGCCCTGTTACGCAAGTTTGTCTTTAAATTAACAGTTATTCCCAGAAAGCTAAAGGGGAAGCAATATTCTTGATAGAAACTCTTATCCTGCTTTTCCGAGTAGTGTTTTTCAGACTGAACGGCACGTGATTTCAGCAAGAACGTATTAGACAATCTAAAACATTGTTCTTCTAAACCTGAGCAATCTTTTGGTATTGTTAGTCACGTTTCTTTAAATGGAAGTTGCACGCTTCGGTCGCATTTGGACTATACTGAAACCTTTCATGATTGTTAGAAAGGCGTCCATTCGTAATCTCATGTCGGCAATCTCACGCGCAGGTTTCTGCACGGAACGTATTGCTCTTTTTCATTCTGAAGGCATGCCAGGTACAAAGCATAATAGATCTGCGGGACGCTGACGAAAATTTTACATTCACTAAACTTTGAGGTCACCCGCAGTTCTTGAAAAATGAAAGGTGAGCAAGGTGAAGAGGGTAAGGTGTCATTTCACGTGGTTGGAGAAAATTCAACACGCCCACTCAGATAGAACCCACTTACTTAAGCAAGGCAGTCTCGTGTGTAAATAAAAAAATTGTTCAATTAATCTTTGAAAAAAAAAAAGACACTGTGTTTTCTTTATAAACAAAAGAAAACTGTGACACCTGCGTGGAACACGCAGCAGAGCGACAGCGATAGCGCGAAAAGTGACCTTCCAGAGCCTTTTCTCAACACTTCTTGGGTAACTGCTACAAGCAAACTGGCTGGGTACCCACTACGCCACAAATAACCATATTTTGTGTAGTAGGCCAGCATTCATATGCTATCCTTCCTCATTCTTGGGAGAAGGGTGGTATTCGCTACACACTCGCTAGAAGTTTTGCGCTATTTTTTTTTTAATGTCCGTGGCTGACGACGATGAATAATTATGTCTGCAGAGGGTAAGCGCCATAGTTAATGAAGGATCAAGAACAACCTCTTGTAATTGGTTGAAGCATTGAATGGACACTCGTTACAAATTAGCATTGTGTGACACCTGGTTGTGTTTTGATGGCCTAAAATGCTTTAGTACTCATAATAACGCGGTTTCTTTCGCGGCACCAAGCCTGCCTAAGGCAATTTAAAAACGAGTTGCAAGCAGCGGCGTAGTTCAGTGGAAAAGTACTGGGCTGGCATACAGCGTATCAGTGTTCGAATTTCGTTGGGCGCATTGTTGTCTTTCCACTTACTAAGTTTATTTCCTTATTTTTTCGCTATACTGGTTATGGAAACCGACAGTGGCGGAGAACTATGGCGCCGCAAATGACCCATGTTCTGATCTCTTGACAACTTTCCCTATGAAAACCAGCCTTACTTTTGCTTCAGGAATTTTTATTTTGGGAACTTGCAAATTTCATCTGAGCTTAATTTGTGAACCCAAAAAACCACGAGCCTAGTGGGCGTGTGAGCAGCCACCACGGAAACCAAGTTAACCGCTTCATTTTCTACCCTTCGCAGATTTTTCTTAACCTGGTGGGCACCTGCTTATCGTTTCACCGGCCACCATTTCATCCTTGACAGTGCAGGTCCATGAAAAGTACGCGCACTGCTTTTAGGGGCGAAGCTCCTTATGACGTGGCTTGTGCATCCCTCGTAGTACGTAACCACCAGTGGCACATACCCGAAATAGCGGTCCTTACATTTTGACCTCCAAGGTAGTTTGGTGAGAGATTTCTTCTGTGCGTTGTTGAACAATAAAAGATAGTGCTCAATGCACATGTTAATGGCTGCTAAGGGGGAATGAGAGACAGGAGCATTCGGCCTTTAGGTAACGCGCACGCTGCGATCCCCGCTAGCAGCTATCGGAATGTACATTGAGCACGATCTGACAAAAAAGGGTTGCTACGTTATACTCGCTGGGTGTAACCTCCTTGGTTTTAGAAAGGTTTAGTGAGCGTTGGGCCGCATAGCCATGAATAATGTGAACTAGTATATACCATGAACTCGAGGTGGTGAAAGGTGGTAAGTAAACCCGAAGCGCAAGCCGTAAGAAAGTGTGCGTGTGCCACCTCCCGTTTAGTCCTTGAAATGTCCGCTGGATGGTGGTGCTTCTATATGGAGAATATATGATGAAGAGATGCGAGATGGTGGTACTTGGAGTGCTGAATAGATGGACGAACGGACACACAGACAGATGCATGGATGGACGCATGAACGGACGCAGGCGCGGATGCATGGAAGAACGCAGGGACGGACGCACGAGCAGACGCACGCACGGACGGGTGGATGGACGCATGGACGGTTACACAGACGTACGCAGGAACGGACGGAAGCAAGGACGAGTGGACGGACGAATGCTTCGCCCCACTCCCCATCATTCACTCCGTGGATATGCTGTCATTTTTTTTTTTTCTGAAGGTGCGCGTGCATGCATCGATTTCATTCCTCAGATCAACAGTCTTCCTGTTATCAAGCTGACAAGATAAACGCTAGATTCAAGTTCCGTTCCCTACACAATTGACGTGCCGCATTGCAGGGCCATTAGTGGGCGTGCGAACAGCCGCCACGGAAACATGGCTGACGCTTCCGTTTTCCACGCACCGAAGGTGTGTAACTGCTTTTCTATCTTTGCTAGAATGTCAGACAAGTATTATTTGCCAATGATCCTGTAACCACAAGTGCTCTGTGAAACATCGTGCACTTTATTTAAATCATATTTGTAGTTTCTATGCTGCGGTGATATTTATTCTAACCCTGGACCACCCCCACACTCAATCTATTAAAACAGAAATTGATTGTGAACAGGCAGAGATAGCAATATTGATGCACATACTTGAAAACGCAAATGTCAGCATCGAGAAACTCTGAAAACACATTTATACTTCTCAAGCAGCCACTTTAGCCAGGCTGAGGGTAATAAAATTAAATCAGGAAACGTTAAACTAGGTTGGTTCCGTGCTTACTTGTGTTGGAGCTGTAGGTCGTAATGAAAATAACGAATCTGGTTCCTTAAGCGATAACTTCCTTGCTGTGCAATATACTTCAGTACGATGGATGTCTGTGCAAGTTTGCACCCAAAATCGCTTGGAAGACCTCGGCGACGTGTCACAACGTGGTGATACGTGATATTTCCGATGTAAAAAGACTAAAGCTGTTGAGACGAGAGCACATATATATTTTTTTATATATATACATATATATATATAATTTTTGAATCTATTTTTTGGTAACTATCGTATCCTCTTTTTATTGTAAGTATTGACTTGCCTAACTAATATCCTAGATGCCTTTAACCATGTTAAGACAGACGCGGCTATGAAAGAAGTAACGTCAAAGAAGTATTGAATTTGCCTCATTTTTCACGATTTTCGGACACACTTAGTAAAACACCTTGTGAATGAAAAAACTTATGCAAGAATAGTACTTACTTTGTAAATAAATAGAAAACAGCGTCATTACTGTGTGATTGCTTACAAACGTGATCGGAAAACTTATGGTTTGTCTCGTTTACCTCCAGTGATTTTCCATCGTCATGCATGACAAGCAACTCGCCTGTCTGAAACAGATACAGCAAGCAGCAAGCACTTTAATGCAGTTCTGAATCACGCTGCTTGCGTCATTTTCTGAACACAGGTAGGAAAAAATTACTCGCAGAGAGAAAATAAGAGGATGTGACAGCCCATGTTCACGCCCCAATTTTATTGAAAAAACTTACGTTCCTTAGTGGACTGCATCAATTCAAGATGCTGTTCACTTCAGAAGGCTATATAATGTGAATGCTTTTAACTTAAATCTTACTGGAGAGAAATGCAGCGGGGTTTATCGAAAAAGTGATGTTCTTTGATGAAAAAGCTAAATAAATAGATTGATTAGGCCTTCAAGACTACCATCGAGCTGCTTCGGTGCACATTCTTCTCGTCGGTTGCATGACTGCTAACGTATCTGCAATAAACTCCAATCATTTCTCAATAAGTAGTCCCGCTAATTTAACGGAGAAAGAGCTGAATCGGCCACCCTGTCGCTGTCACATGGCTTGAATTGTTGCTACTCAAACTGATGCCTAGCGCAGTCATCAGCGGAGATGTCCCATGAGCTGAGCAGCACGTAAGGTTGGAAAGCCAGTGCAAGCTTGCCCTAAACCGCCACCGTCAACGATAAGCTGATTCTTCGGTAAGGGGCCGCGAAACATCAATGCTGGGAGTTACACGAAGATCTATGGAAGACAGAAGCCGGGGTGAAACACCCGAACCAGGAAGTAAGACACGCAGCGTTCGCAGCAGCAAATAGCAAAAAAACAGTGAAACGGAGATGGTAGAGCAAATAAACAATCTCAAAACAAATCAAATAAATACAAGTAAATTTAATGAAATGAAGGTATCTATGACATAATTAGACAAAATCTGCAGAAAAAAAGGGGAGAGAGCGGATAAGCACAAGAAAATTTGCAAACCACATCGGTAAACACCAGAAAAACGCAATATGAACAAAAGGAAAAAGTGGGCGATTCAGTACTGTGAAGTTCGCACAGATTCCACCAAGGAAGGTCAGTGACCCGTAGCCGTATTGCTACCATTAGTAGCAGCTTGAAGGCAC